CACAGACGGAGGGACAGACACACAGACGGAGGGACAGACACACAGACAGAGGGACAGACACATGGAGAGACAGACACACAGACAGACAGATGGACACAGACAGACAGACGGACACACGGACACGCAGACGGACGCGCAGACGGATGGATGGACAGACACACAGATGGATGGATGGACAGACGCAGATGGACAGACAGAGGGACGGACACATGGATGGACGGAGGGACGAACGGACACACGGACAGGCGAACAGACAGACAGACACACAGACAGACGGACACATGGACAGATGGACTGACGGACAGACTGACAGACGGACGGAAAGACACAGACGGAAAGACACACGGATCGATGGACACACGGATCGACAGGTGGATGTACAGACTCACAGACGGACAGATAAATAGATGGATATATGGATGGACACACAGACAGACGGACACACGGACGGACACACAGACACATGGACAGACACGGACATATGGACGGATGGACACACGGATGAATAGACACAAGGACAGACAGACGGACGCATGGATAGACAGACGGACAGACACACAGGCAGACAGATGAACAGACGGACACACGGACGGACATACGGACAGACATGTCTTTTGAAAACAACGAGAAGCACCCCAAGCACAGAGCACGTAACACCAAACTGGAAGCCCACAAAGTTGCCAGCAGGGCCCTGCACTCACCTGCAGTCCCTGGTGGGAACAGCCCGTACCCCGCAGCAGCGTCCATACACAGCCCGTCACTGGGCAGTCCTTTGCACAGGGAGTGCTGTCACCTGAACAAAGAAAGGGGATACCTTGGCGTGGGCCACAGAAACTTCTGTTTCCACAGAGACTACTTGATATCAATATCCTGGGGGGGAAAAGGGGAACCACACAGGCTAAGTGGCAGGAAGAGCAGTGGCCTCTGACTGCAGCTTACCTCTCACAGCACCCTGGCCATATGCTGCTGCCTACATTAATCCATTGAGTCATCACCAGGGAAAGGGGGAATTTTTCCCCCTTCATGGCTTCTTTACAGCATGAATTAGGGAGATGACTGTACCCTAGTAAAGCATCCCTTCTCTATCTGCATTTTCCAAGTGTGCTTCACTATTACAGTGCCCATTATATTGAGTTTGCATCGTCCTCATATCTACAGGGCATGAGAGATTTCCTTTACTGCAGAGCCTTTACAACAGTCTAAAGGCTCCAGACTGGAGTGGCTCCACATCTGCTTTTTCACACTCACATTCAGCTTTGCAGAACACCAATTGCACAGACACATATAATAAATACCTTCACAATCACTAGTTACTGTTCTTTCATTACCCCACCAATTTTTTTCCCCTTTTCTTTCCCTTGATCTCAACCTCTGACCCAGGGATGAATGCTGTCATTGCATCAGCACCTACTGACATTATAAAAGGTGTCCCTTTTGCCTGAGGGGAGGTATATTGGGTCAGTGGGATTCTGATCCTCTCCCTTACTCACATCAGGCTACATTCAGTGTAATCAGCCCAAGTTTAGCATCATTTTTCCTCACTCTCAGTAGGGCAAAACTGGACCAAAATCTGCTCCAGTGAGCACACAGTTGATTATTACCTGTATATGAAACACTTACTTTTTCTCCTGCTCTATCAAAGAACAGCACTGGTAGATGATACAAAAGCCTCAGTTGGATTTTCAAGTGTAAAACATTTCAAATAAAACTCCCAAGACTTTAAACAGTTGACTTATTTGTGGCACATGATGTTGCATGATATGGAAATTAAATATCAGGATTGTATTTCACCATCAAGTCCAAAGGGGTTAATAAACAAGTCTGTTTGCTGATTGTTTTCTGAGATATAAACCTATAGAAGTACATTAGTTTCTCATCAATTAGCAGTTTATCTCTGCATGTTTCCCAGAGGCCTCCCCAGTAGCATCGTGGGGAGGAGTGAAATGGCCACAGGGATTTCGGACCAAATCCTTTGCAGAGAAGATAATAATTTACAATATGTACATTTGTTTACTTCCACCATAACTGCTACATCTGCTTTACTGACACTAATTAATTAAGCCTGGTTTAATTAATTGTGTTCTCTGAGGAAGGTGGTGTTGACATTTTGCAGCTGGTGCTTGAGAGGGGAGCTGTGGAAGGCAGAGTTCTTGACAGCATCCCTGGTTTGAAGTCCTCCAGCTCGCCACACCCCTGCCAGTGCCCGTGGCCTGCTCTGGGCCTGCAGCTGGAAGGAACACGCTGGATCTGAGCCTTCAGCCCTCCTGCAACTGCCAAAAAACCTTCAAGTGGAGAAATAACAGTCCAAAATCTGACTTGAGTCTAAATAAACCCCAAACCCAGAAACAGATTCGTAGATAGCATACCTTGAGTTTCCTCTCACTGAGGCCTCTTCCTCTATTTATTTACTTATTTAGATTTATCCAAACTTCCTTGGGTCAAACTCAGATGTGATGGGACAGATCTTCTGTTCTGGATCAAGTTAACATCAGCCCCACGTCTGCCTTGCACATCATTCCTGTCTGTGGCTGCACGTCTTGTTTTACACAGATGGGCAATCATGCATACAAATGCTCCTATAATTTATCCCAGAGTTGCTGAGCTGTTTATACAGGCAACTTTCCATCTATTCCTAACACTCCACATCCTACAGAGGTGTTTTCTCTTGTTCCCAAAATATTATTCTTCATTGATTAAATTTTGGTAAAACAGCTATACCTTTGAGAGATGGAGATTCCTAATCTCCTAACAGGCTCTTTCAGGTCAGGGAAGAAGAAAGTCGTAATATTTTCCCCAGTGCTATGTTGCCTGCTAATTCCTTGTCAGAATGGCATGTTTACCACCTCTCGCTGGTGCTCTGACTGGAGTTTGGCAACAAACCCTTTGCCAACAGTCATTTTACAAGTAAAACCTGCACATTTCTCCCTGAAAGCTATTTTTAAGAGCACTTTCCTTAAAGAAAACTCTTTATCCAGGTTCATAGCTGGGCTGCCCAGCTCCCAGCCTGGCCGTGCTGATTGCAGTGCCATTACACCAGGAATGAGTGTGACTCTCTCGATTGTTGTTGGTGACCCGGTGTCACATGCATTTACTATATCCCTGGCAACAGCCAGGCTGCCCTGTGGCTGTTTGGGAAGAAAGAAATGGAGTGAATCAGAATTAGCCATAGTCCCTGCAAAAAGGGGGAAGGAGAACAGAAAGGAAGAAAGGAGCAGCCACGGAGTGGGGTCTGGGAAGATTAGGCGCTGGTTTGAAAACAAGGAGGCAATGAACTAAACCCCCAAGGATTACTTGTCTACTTTCTAGCTGCGCCAATAGTCATTTCTCTGCTAATTACCTTCCTCTTTGTGCAGGGGGTGCCATGAGCAGGATCTCAGCAGTGGTGCTGCTGTGCCCAGGGGTCCACATGAGGCAGAGCCTGCACAATGCATGTGCTGGGGGACGTGCCACGGCGTCAGCCACCAGGCACATTTCAGGAAGGGCTTTCAATGCCTCAGCTTATTTTGTTTTGCTTGCAAACATCTGAGCTCTCGCATTTGGCAAAATAAAAGCACTGCGTGTCATTCTCTTTAGGGCTCCACATAAAAATCCTATCAGTGCTTTATAGGCAGCAGGATGGTAGTTTTCCCAGCTTCAAATGCTTTCCTGTTCCCGCTACTCATCCAGATGGAAAGGTTCTCCAAACAAAAGCCTAGTACAGGGAAGGCATGTGTGAGTTTGCTTCCAGACACCTCAGATGGCAAAAATTTGTCTTACTTTTTTTCTGTTGGCAAAACTGTCATTGAAGGGCATAACTAGAAGTTTATCAGAAATGCAAAAAACCCCTCTCTTGCTGTTCTCTTTCACTTCGTCTTTCCTGCAAGCCAGTTATCAGCAAACACTTGTCAACATTTGACTGCTGTAAGGCAGGTGATTACAAGAAGTAAGAAATATTTGGTTTTTCTGACTGTTTTCTGTCTCACTCTGTACCCGGGGTGCTGCTCCCCCTTGAAATAGTTTTTCGCCGCTGTTATCTGAAGCCCACAGCTTATAACAAAAAGGGCTGATAATGTAAAAACAAAATGACATTGGGCTGTCAAAGCAAAATCCCCTCACCACAAACCCCAGGCTGGGCCTGGCGCTGCAGCTGGCTGGCAGAGCAGGAGGAATGCCTGTGTGGCAGTGGAGTGGAAGCACGTGCTGCCAAGTGAGGCAGCCCGGCCGGCGCGCAGCTCCAGCTCTGGTGCCCTGCACAGGAGTGGGGCAGCCTCCTCACACCAGTGCCACAACTGCCTTTGGGCATTGCCTGCTCTGGATCAGAGGGGGCACAGAGGGCAGGGAATGTGTGGCTTTCACAGTGATAATCTGGAGCCAAGTGTTTCCCTGCGAAAGACTTTTGATGTGTAATAGGAGCCATACTCCTCCACAGTGCTGAATAAATTGTAGCCCAGGAAAAACCAAAGACTTGTGCTAAGGGTTTGAGTTTTATGCATTAGCTCTGTCTCATAGATCATGTTTATGTATATGAAAAAAAGAACATGTGATTAAGGGGATCCTTTTTCCTTACCCGAGTGCAGGCACACTGCTGATACTCACAAGCTGTACTTTGCATCACGTCTTCACTCCCTTGCCTTATTGTCCAGTTTAGGACCAATACTCCCACTGATATAATTTCAATAGAAACTATTACTCCAAAAAAACTGGTCCCACTTAAGCAGGGACAGGACTCAACTCACCTCAGTTTAGGCATCTAAAAGCTGGGCGTTGAGTCAAAGCTTCTTCTTTCAGCTTTCTCCGTAGGGAATTACAACCCTGGTATTTCTCCACAGGGTAAAAAAGTCCCTCCATAGCATCGCGTGGAGAGGGCTCCAGAGGTACCTGTTTTTCTGCCTTGACAGAGTAGGACAAATAGTTAATTCTTGACTCCCAATCAGCTGAAGCTGGGTAAGATGCATTCCCTTTCATTACATACTTAAATTTTGAATCACCGCAGTATCTTAATCTGATGTTTTGTTGGGTAATTTTGTGGAACTCCTCCCCCATCTTATTATAGAAAGGTATAAAAAGGTGTGAAACTTCTCCCTCTTGCAGGATAAGGTTTTAATTTTTAACTCAACAGTAACAGAAACTATAATTTCAGAAAGGCTGCTGTTGTTAAATTAGGAAGTCAAAAGCAAGTTTTATGTAGAGGATTTTGGTTTTTAGTAGAGGTTATTACTAGAATGAAGACGTGGCTTTGATAAAGTCCAAATGCACCCAAACTACAAATCAGAGTTTTTAATTTCCAAAATACCTCCTCCTTGGCATGCAGTCGGTTGACTTTGTTTTCCTCCCTTTTTTTTTCCAGAGTTCTTGGCAACTTCAGCTCTGGCTGTGCTAGTTAAGACCAGTGGTATCTGTAGGATTACTGCCAGAAGGGAAGAGAAAAAAAAAAAAATCACTTCAGACCCCTGCTTCAGGCCATGTCATGAAAGGCAGCTGGAGAGATCTATCCCCTGGAGTAAAGCAAATGACATGAAAAAAGCTGAGAAATGCAGTTCAAAGCCAAGATCATTTATATTCCCACTATGAATTAACCAAAATTCCCCCTACCAAACAAACCCCAAGCTATGCAAACTCATCTCAGTAAATAGGTTTAAAAAAGCATTTTCTAGTTTAACAGCACAGGATTACAAAAAGGTTTTGGCAACTCCCTGAGTCAGTGACTCAGGACCTTCACGAACCTCGTTGATTGTGAGGGATTTTTCAAATCGGTGCAGGTTTAGTTGTAGCTTTTGTGCCGGGACCTTCCTGCCTCTCCAAGGCAAGCATCTACTACAGACAGACCCCGCTGTGCTCAGTGCAGAGAGGCACTGCAGTGTCACACAGCTGGTACCTGTGCAGCTGTTCCACTGCCATCCAAGATTTTGCTTCTGGCAAACAGCTTCTTGCTGGTAGGAAACTCCTCATGGTGTGTCCACACCCCTCGAGGAGTGCCAGGCACAATTAACAGCCAGCATTTGGCTTGTCTCTGATGAAAGGTCAGAGGCCAGGTCAGACCTATGCTGAAAGCTAATTTCTAAAGTGATTTGTCTGGATCCTGCTACACCAGTCAGAAGTGCAGAGTGCCCTAAGTGCAATTCTATAATTTAAATGCTTATAGTACAAGAGAGAAACAACTCACTGATCATCTCATTAGAGGCTTAGCTTTTTACTTCTGGACAGCTTTTCCTCTTTGATCTAGTAAGAAAAATGAATGGAAGTTTAGGACATGTTTATTTGCTTTTGTAAAGGCTTGGATCCAAGCAAAACACACTTATATCTGGGAAATAACAATGAGGGGTTGTAAACGTATTAAATACCTTTGACCAGCGCTAGATACCAAACCAGAGATTCCCAAGGTTAAAGAATTCAGGAGTGCTGACTCCTGGTTTCCATTTGACTCCCATTACAACTCTCATTTGTATGCCACTAAACAAAACAATGTCCTTCTCCCTGTGGACACATGAATGAGTTATATTGTCATTGTTTGGTTTTCTTTTTTTTGCCCCTTATAGTCTTCAAAAAACTGCAAGTGCTGTAGCCTGAAAATCTCACGAGTCGAGAAATCTCTGCTCCCATCTATTGGTGAGCAAGAGAAGAATGACCATAAAACTAGTGAATCTGATTAGTTGTTTCACCCAGGCCACTGGATAGACAAATAATCCAGAGGTAGGGGCTCTCTGGTACCATCTCTTTGATAATAAAGGAAATGGGCCTTCTTTGTATTTGTCTCTTCATTCTTTCAGTGGCACTTTGGGGAGACCTCATAGTTACATTTCAATGATCACAAAGTCCTACCATTCCTCCAAGTATCCTGTACTGGGATGACTTCACTGTTAGTTCTTGCAAAGGATTTAATGAGTCTTAGTCATGAAATAATGCATTTGAGTTCAGACTGGTTTTTAGGAAGCAGATTCCAAAAGCAACAGACCATTGAGCTGCAGGTGGCAGGCAACAGGTCTGCCCAGGCAGGAGTCAGACCTCTGGAGCTGTGGTGTTCAGACTGTGCTGAACTGCAGGGAAATGTAGCAGCTGGGGAAGGAGAAATGATGCTCATAAGGAATGTTTGCCTACAGGAAATTCACAGCATCAGCTGGCGACCAAGGCAACAGACTCTTGCCAGAGGTACTGAATGAAGTAGATGGTCCTGTTTACTGTGGATTGTTTTCCCAAAGTTCATGGCACCTGTGCCTTGCCATTAGCAAAGGCCTTGTTGTTTCAAAGAGCTTCACACTTGCAAGTGATGAACTGTTGCCTGAGGGTGCTTGGAAGACATTCCAGGTGGGAAGGGACATAGTGCTGTACAGCAGCTTTGAAGAGCAGTCATTTTTCGAACTTAACCTTGTTGCTACCAGGAGCTGGGTTCTGGATATCCAGGGATTAGACATGGTGGCAAGATTCCAGCTAGGTGGAGGAGAAAGTAGTCAAAAGGAAGTAAGTTACTGAATTCATATGGAAGGGCTGAATTTCTGATCTCATCAGCTTCTTTGCTTGAATTTTCTCAGCATCCAAATCTTAAATGAAGCCTCATTGCCATTGTTAGGAGCAACATTCAGTTCTTGCCACACTCTCATCGGTCGTCGTTGCTATTCCATGATCATTAGGAAGAGGAACAAGCATGGTAAGGAATGTAAAAGAGGGCTGGAGGGAAAAGATGCTGCTGAATAAATCCATACTGGGGTAAACACAGTGCTGAGACAGAATATCATTCAGCACAAGGGTTTATCACTGAAAACGGGCATGTTGCATTTGAACTGGGATTTTCTAAAGAAAACCACCCCCAGACAGCTGAGCGATGAGTTCACAGTATGAAAGACTGCTCAGGACTTCATCCACTCAAAGGCCATTTACGGGCTTCACTTTCTCACGGTCCCACTCTGGAAGG